CGTGGCGTAGCGCAGTGCAGTGCAGTGCAGTGCAGTGTAGTGTAGTGTAGTGTAGTGCAGTGCAGTGCAGTGCAGTGCAGTGCAGTGCAGTGTAGTGTAGTGTAGTGTAGTGTAGTGTAGTGTAGTGTAGTGTAGTGTAGTGTAGCATGCCGTAGTGCAGTGTAGCGTAGTGTAGCGTAGTGTAGCGTAGTGTAGCATAGTGTAGCATAGTGTAGTGTAGTGTAGTGTAGTGTAGTGTAGTGTAGTGTAGTGTAGTGTAGTGTAGTGTAGTGTAGTGTAGTGTGGTGTAGTGTAGTGTAGTGTGGTGTTGCGTAGCGTAGCGTAGTGTAGTGCAGTATAGTGTAGTGTAAACTATGTAGTTTAGTATACTTGGTTTGTTCTTGCACTTGCACATTTTGCCTTTACAACTTCTGTTAAAGAATCAACGGTTCAGTATTTTAATTTCTCCTTTAGTTTTTTTTTTCAAATTAGGTAAATGTACTTTTCTAAATGAAAGCAAAAATTATTATTTACCCTATAATATTAACAAATTTAAGATATAGGCATAAGCTGTGTTTCCATAGTAAAGTACCCACAACAAATAGAAAAGTACGTGTGTCTCAAAAAATATAATGTATATGTATGACGTACATTGTAATACAACAACGCTCTTACTAGAATATCCACTGTGTATTTTATTTAAACAAATGAATTAATGATTCTCTGCCAGCAGTGTGTCATTTTCATAATACATGTCTAAAAATAGCATCTGGTTTTCATATAACATGTCTGATAATAGTATTACTGTTATGCGTCTAACAATAGTGTGAGGTTTTTATGTCACACGTGTAATAATGGGGCGAGCTATTGATATTTCGTATGCAACACTAGGACGCAGTTTTCATACCATGCGTGTAACAATAGTGCCTGGTGCTCATATTACACGTGTATCAATATGAAATGTTTTTAATATTACGCATGTAACAAAAAAGCGAGCTAATTATTTTACGTGTGTAACAACAGCCCCAAGTTCGATACTACTTGTC